GGAGGGTGGATTGGTGTGGGTGTGGGTCAATGTGTCTTGGATTTTAGTGGTTGTTTATTTAGCCTAGTTGAGGGACACAATGGGGGGTTTTTGACAGGTTATTTTCGGCCAGTATATGGGGGTAAGAGAGTGCTTATTTAGGCTATTATTAGGAGTGGTTTTGGCCTTAAGGGTGTAAATTTAATGGAAGGACAATTGTGGGGTTCAAAGGGTGTGGTGGTGTGTTGGGTTGTGAGGTATATTTGGCCAGGGAATGAAAGGAAGGGAGAGAAGGTTTTATTTGTTTATTAAAAGGCTTAAAAGAAGGAAAATAACAACAAAAAAAAGGTTTTGGTTTCTTATTATTGACCAGGGATTAAAATATATGGTAAAGGCTTTATTTTGGGATAAAAGAAGAGATAAAAGACTTTTGGATATGTTGGGAGGAGTTGGGATTTTTGGTGGAGCCATCCAGGGATATAACATTAAGGCATCTTGATTGATTTTTTAGTTCATGTATATGCCTTGGTCATGCATACTCTATGCCCCAACACCTATATGCTCTATGTAAGTCTAATTTTGAAATATTTTTCAAATGCGTTGCAGTTACGACATAAGCCTAGAATTTACAGCAGCTATATTTGGAGCTGAAAAAGAATTTGAGCTTTCACATCTTGAAACATGTGACATTTGTGATGGTACTGGAGCCAAAGTGGGCACCAAAAAGAGGATATGTTCAACTTGTAGTGGCACAGGTCAAGTTATGAGAACTGACCAAACACCATTTGGCATGTTTTCCCAGGTAACTAAACACTATCATTTTCAGCATTACAGTGTTTGTTATAGATGTTTGTCGTATATATTTAAATACTTAAGTGCTACAAAAAGATTTCCTATGTCTAGAGTTGTGATTATGTTATTCAAGTCACTGTCCATGATTTGCGTTTTGTGTCCAAGTTATTCAAAATCATATTTGCGTGATGATTTTACAATATCGAGTTTGTATTGAGACATCAATATACTAACTTCTTCAACTCATCACCATTGCCTTATGATATTTGTCACTTCGTTTTGGAGTAACTCACAATTTGCACCCTACAAAGAGAATATTCATGGCTTAGCATTCTCAAAAAGCAAAAAACAATAATTGCACCTCAAACGTATTAAAACATTCTAAAGTGCACTTTCAAAAATGCTAAAACAATGCAAAGTAAACCTTCAACAAATTTTTGATCTAGTTTCATTTGAAAATTTAAAACCGGTCTTCAGGCCGGTGGGTATTTTTTAGCACACCGTTTTCCTTCCAAGTAGAGCCAGCAAATTGGAGAGTCATATCAGGTTTGGGTTTGGTTACTATGGGTTTATGTTACAACGAGCTCGAGAGTTTGGGTTTGGAACTGAATGTTCATGACCCAGGGCCGACGAGTTTGGGTCATCCCAGTGGGTATGAACATTAATTTTTGAATACTTAAACTCACACTAGCCCTTATATTTTACATTAAGAAATAACAAAACATCAAAATATATACTTCTTCTGCCACATAGTATTTGTGAGTCCCAGAGTATTTGTGAGGGTGCACTTATTAATTTTTTCCTTTGGAGGATTTGAAGTCATAAGTATTCTCTTTTTCAAGGTGCAAAATGTGAATTACCTCTTTGTGTTGCGTTAATTTATAAAGTTAAGTAATTACAGTACTGTAAAGTTCATGACACCAACCCCAACTAGGTGGTATAAAGATGCCGGTGATGATGTCCTTTAAGGCATTTGATTTGAACATCAAGAATTATTCTTGTCCTTTTAGCTTCCTTCATTTCTTGTGTAAAACCGTCTCCATGATTTTAAGAGCCTGGTTGATGTGAATATGTGCAATGTTGGAAGTAAAAGTGATTAATGATATTCAAAAAAGTGGTTCTCTGGATAGTGGATATCATTCGTTGATTCTTAAGGAGGATATATCTACTTCTTTAGTCAGTTCGACTATGATCTGTTTTAAAGGAGATCATTATAGTCATTGCTCAATGCACTTGCTGTCCATGTCCAAGAATAGGCATGCTCTTTTCATATTCATGAACTATTCATTTGTATTACTCGTAGAAATAAGTTCTTAAGGATGCCTTACACTTCTTGGACTTTGATTAATAATATAGGTATCTATATGTCCAAATTGTGGAGGCAATGGTGAAGTGATTTCTGAGTTTTGTCGTAAATGCTCAGGGAAGGGGAGGGTTCGAGTCAAGAAAGTCATCAAAATCAAAATACCTCCTGGAGTGAGCAAGGGCAGTATCCTCAGAGTTGCCGGTGAGGGTGATGCAGGTCCAAGAGGGTATAGTATAGTTATATATATATATATATATTTGTGTATCTATATGTGAGCTCATCTTTAGCTATTTTTAAACTGTGTTTATATATTCTGCATATTTATTTTGCTCAGTACTTTTTCTTGTTTGATGGAAAGCATTTTGAGTTAGTTTCTTATTTATTTATTTATTTTAGAACAACAACAACCACAATGGCAATAACTACCAAGCCTTAATATTATTTAATAGGGACTTTACACGAACCAATAGAAAATCTTTTGTGCTCATTTACCTAAGTCCTTTTCCTATTCTTTTTTGTGATGCACCATATTCTCATTAAGCCCCGATGATCACTCCCTGTATTTTCCTCTTTAGTCTTTATACTCTCAATCCAAGTCAGTTTCCGGCTACCCTACTTCTCTTCAAGTCTTCCACACTCCAATACTCTACTCTCTAAGGTGTCCTACCGAGGCTCTTCTCATTTGAAGGCCAAAACGTATGATGGAATGTGGAATAATAGCCCCTTAATAAGTGTTAGAAAAAGACATGAACAAAATTACATCGTAGAAACATACAATGTATAAGGTGTTATTTTTGAGACACTTCACTCACTTTTGTTTTCTTTTGCATAATTTACTTATTTTTCCATTGTCAACAGGGGACCTCCGGGAGACCTTTTTGTTTATCTTGAGATTGAAGAGATACCGGAGATTCAAAGAGATGGCATGAATCTTATTTCAACAATTTCAGTTTCTTATCTAGATGCAATATTGGGATCTCTTATCAAGGTTATATGCTCTTCACATTTCACTTGAATTTTTATAGATGCTACCAGCTGTTGCGGTGAGAAAATAATACCATGATTTGTATCCACTATCTACCCTTCATCTCTATATAGGTTGTTAAATACTCCTAAAAGACTCATATGAACAAAAGAAGTAAATTTCACTACATTTACTGTACTTATTTCTTTTTATAAATGTCATAAACAAGTTAAGTATGTTAAATTTAGATAAATAACAAAAAAAATATAAAAAATAGCTTGAATAAATTATTTATGTAGTTGTGTTTTACTAATATATAAAAGTTGGTTTCCTTTTTGGGAAAGAGGTAGGTCCATGCTCTTTATTGCTTGTTGTCTTCCTATTCTGATACATGAGTCTCCTGTTTGTGGTTTTAAAATTTCTCTCATTGACCCTTTATAAAATGCCACTGTGCTTTTTTGCTTGAAATACGATGCTAACTAAATATATTTGATACTATGTACCTCAACTTGTTAGGAATAAGGTGCTATTGATTATGATGACTGATGAGTAAAGAAATGGGCATTTACTTGTATATGCTCCCATTCTTTAAAAAGTGTCACTGTAGTGGAATAAATTTTTTCTCAATTACATGTTTCTTGAAAATATGAAGAGAGCATTGATTGCTTACTGTCCATTATTTCTTTTTTTTCATCTTTAAATGAGCTATAGTAATTTGTATGTCTTTAATGAATAAACGGGTAGTTATCTAGTCATATTATAGTATATTTATCTTGAATTTTGAAAACTTCATTGTTTTCTTAATATGTGAGTCAAGGTCAGCGCTTATTTGAGGACAGAGGGACTATGACTATCTAAATTAATCGGTTATAGCCTATTTAATTTGATTGCGTAACTTTGTTCTATTCTGAAGTGTCATCAATGTAATGAAAAGTTGTTGATGAATGTGAGTATATGTAGGTTAAAACAGTCGAGGGGACATCTGACATCCAGATTCCTCCAGGCACTCAACCTGGTGATGTGCTTGTCTTGGCAAGGAAAGGTGCTCCTAAACTAAATAAGCCTTCAACACGTGGCGATCATTTGTTCATTGTAAACATCAGCATACCAAAACACATAAGGTATGCATAGCTTGCTCATATTGTTTTGGACATGAAGTTGTATTTCTGGAGACTGGAGAGTTTCCCTAAGACTTACCTTAAAAAATCATTCTACATGCAGTGCAAAGGAACGTGAGTTGCTTGAAGAACTTGCTTCTTTGAGTGGCAGCATGGTGTCTCAGACTAAATCTCAGACCAAAATTCAGCAAGCCGGTATGTGTGATTTCTTTAATATTCATGAATTATTTTAAGTAATTGCAATTTACTTTTTTAGAATTTTTTTTTTGGCTTTTTCCTCTAATTTTTCTTGTTTTTTCAACTTACAATTTATGCGCCCTCTGTCATATAGTCTTCCAGTTTCCTTAGAGCACGCTTATTAAGAAAATGAAATTGTGTTCTTGAGATTTATTTAGAAAAGAAAGAAACAATATCAACCACACAATTCATTCCTTGAAGGCAAACAAGCAGACAATCTTTGGACGGGTAGAAAAGGAAAAGGGAAGAGAATCATGGTCAGAAGGATGAAGTGTTTGCGGAATTTTCTAATTGAAGGAATTAGGATTTACATTTTAGTGGAACTTGATGATAGCGTGAAGAGAATTTTGAATTCGCATGTCTACATATATTTTTATACTCCCTTCGTTCCTTTGGGGATTTTGCAACTTGTTTGAGCACGGAGATTACGAAATCTCAAAACTATTAGGTTGGATTTATTGAGAAGAAAGAGAATACATGTGAACCACACATTTTTTCTAAATTGAGAAGTTGGAACATGGAAAAGCATTTTGAGACAATACAAAAAAAGGAGAGATACAAAACCCAACGGGACATATGAAGTAATGGATATAAGTTCTATGTAATAAGCTGTTAAGCTATTTAAGGGCCTATTTGCCACACAAAACTAAAAGCCAGCCAAAAGCAGCAAAGTTGGTGAAATACTATAACTAGGAGCTGAAGATCAAAAGCTTGGATTGGTGTCGGAAGTGTTTGTTAAAATAAGCAAATGACTTTTTGTTGATTATAGATTGTTGATGATGTTTTTTTGTGGATGGATAGGGTTATTAGTAGAAAAAACAAAAGCTTAGGGCTTCTTGTTGAAAAGTTATAATCCATCCTAATTTATGATGCTTGTTTTCCTTTATGGTCCTTCCCAATTTATAGTGCATGTGTTGTGATTCATAGTGTTTCTCTTTCCTTTGCAATAACCGTAACACTCGATTTTCAATCTAATAATCCTCAAATTTCTTTTACAGTTGTTGTTATATCTCGGCTCCGGGTTTTATAGTTAAAACCTCTTTATTTACATGGAAGGGGAGATAATCGATTGTCCTGAGTGGATAATCGATTGTTAAGGGCTTCAAGTTCTTGGGCAGTTTTCTGGGGATGTTCCGGGAAGGGGGATAATCGATTTACAGAAGATGTGAATCGATTATTGAGAAGTCCAGGTTTTTGGGAAAGGCTGATAATCGATTGTCTGAAAGTGATAATCGACTATTTAAGGCTGCAGATGTTTCACGAGGGATAGATAATCGATTTCCAGTAGCAATAATCGATTATTTGACAGTTTTTTGGGCAGGAAGAAGGGTGTTTTTGTGGGGGAATGGACTGGAAATATATGGAGTTGATGAGAGAGTTTTTTTGGGTATTTTAAAGGAAGAAAAGAGTGAGATTAAGAGGAGAAATGGGGAGGTATGAAATGGAAGAAAATCAGGGATGGATAAACCAAGTTGGTGTTTAAGAGATATTACACACTCTTATACTAACTTGGGGTTTGAATTTAGAATTTAATTAAGATATGACACACTTAATCAAATATCTAGAACCTAAAACTCACACTTAAGATAACCACTCTTAAGATATAGAATTAGGAATTTGGCTAAAATAGCATCACACTATTTTATAAATACTCAAAGAGTAAAAGGGAGTTTTAATATTCAGAGATGTGTTTACAATGGCCATAGGGCCTGATTATATAGGGAGAGGGGAAGGGGGAAATACATAGTACAAAACATGAGGAAACTTCCTAGCAACATCCACCTCCAAACATGGGGTATCCTTTCTTCAATCCTGTCTCCTGGGTGGTCTTAAAAATCAGAGATGAGGCTGGGTTTGTGGGGGTTGTGAGCTTTGGTTCCTTGTGGTTGTTTCCTGGGTTTTTTGTGGCTATTATTTGGGTAAAATGGGGGGATGTTTTGGCCAATAAAAGGGGACAGGGCTGGGTATTATTTATGGGTGTTTTGGAGTTATGGCTTTGGGTTATTGTGAGGGAAACATGNAACTTTATTTTGAAATGAAGTAAATGGCAAGGAGTTTTGGATATTTTGGGTTGGACGGAGTGGGAGTTGGCCTGTGGAAACCTTAGGTCCGAAGCTATTCTGGCCTTTTGGGTTGAAGGACTCGGAATTCTCACTAAAACGGATCATAATGCTTGAACTTAAGTCCTCTGGTTTTTGCGAGGGTGTAGGACATGGGGGAGGGTATGATAGGGCCAGGCCCGGATATAACAGTTGTGCTTAGTCAAAGTGTGCAGTTGCACACAACAAATTGGGACTGAGGGTGTAGAACATAGTTTTTTCAAATTATATCTTATTTTATGCTTTTGCTTTATTCACCAAACTGGACTGATAGCTTATGTGAAGTCTTAATGAAGTTATAAGTACCAACTTAGGTTCTACTAGAGACACGACAACCATAGAGGATATGATAATACCGTGTATGGATTATGGAGATGAAGAAAAGTCCACTTTACCGTGTATGGACTGTGGAGATCAATAAAATGAATAGTGAGTCGTCTAGAATCTAAAATTACTTAGAGGAGAGAGAAAAATATGAACCTTGTACTATCCCTAAAATGAAATGAGAGAATATTGGGATGAATGAAAAGGGAAATGGAAAGACTATTGTGGGGGGCAAACAGGTAGGCCAGGTCAAGTTCAGGTTACTTCAGGTTGGGGTCAATAAATGCATGTTTATGATAGAGTGTCATCCTGTTCAAGTCAACCCAATGAGTTATAGGCATTTAGTTTTAGAGCATTTAAATTTATGCTAGCACTTGCATTTTACATAAGAAATACAGAGTATAAGAACTTTAAAACTATTATAATGTTTCTGTTTGAAAAAAAGTAAGATAACAATATGATATCATTAAAATTTTGTTTGAAAAGATAAATTTATACACTTAAAAGGGAGTAATAAGAAAAACATAATATTATAACAATATGTTTATCACATTATATTTTAAACTAAATTGCATGATTTTGGAAAAACCTTGCCTTAGGAGCTCGTGTTCGGGTTTGGTAGGGTTTGACATAGTTTTAGCGGATCATTTTGGGTTCGGTCATCTGTGTTTGGGCCAGAAAATTTTGCTGGCTGTAAGTGGGAGTATCAAAATTCAAAAGGTGCCTTTGTTTTGCAGCTAGAAGTACAGAGATGCAACATGGTTCTGGTTCAACATCAAAGAACGGTGATGAATCAGAAGATAATGAGGACATCTGGAAAAGGCTGAAAGATTTTGCCGGGTAAATTTCTGATCCTTTATTTTTGGGTGGGATGGGATTTCATACTTTGAAGGGCGAGTTGGGGTAAGGGAGGGGAACCACCAAGCTACTCTCACCACGCCGCTCTTTCATTTATAATTCTGGTGCCAGAGAGAGTGAGTATCTCTCCTCCCACCAGCCACCACCACCTTTCCAAAGCTTAGATTTGGCATCATAATACCATTGAGATTAATATTCTTGTGGAAAATGGATTCCAATTTAAGCTTCCTAGTTCATACACGGATACACCAGTTTTGCGGTCCACAAAATAGTTTTCATCTAGAAGTCTAGAATGTAAAGTGTAGTTTGGTGACGTGATGAATTGAAATGTTATGAGAATGCCTTTGTTATGCAAATTACTCAAATATGTTTTGTGTAAATTTACATTGCAGATGCTTTTTCATTACACTGCATCTCATTTCACTGTGTCGTACCAAACTACACTTCGATTACATTAAGATTACATGTTATGGTCTGACAAACTACACCTTTGTTTTTAGTCCCTTTCCGGTATGATTTGAGATTCTTGAAATCTATGGAGCACAGATAGCTTTCTTTCAGGGTGGTTGTCACTCGTCTTAGCGTTTTGTTTTACAATTTTGAGAGTTGCATTACGTACATTGTATAATGAACCAAATCAACTCGTGCTTTAGTAATATTGATTTTGAAAAAACCAGCAGTAAACTGCAAACCTTTTTTTTTCCAGTTTCCGAATCTGGTTTTTAGTAAAGTTAGAAAGAAAAAAACCCACTATATACAACACATGATTTTAATACTCCATCTGTCCCAAACTAGTTTTCTTTATTATTTGAGGCTTCTGATAATTTTGTTTGCATATGCATTTTCAATGATCATTTGATAAAATAAAATAAGCATGTCACCACTTGTTTTGAACTTTTGATGTAGTTTTTAAATTATATAAGTTGTACTTTTTTAGTGGGATTCAATTGGGTTGTTTTTGTTGTACTTTTTATTTTCATACCTATTTGTAAATAAAATAATTTTAAGAGATTAGAGGACAACTAATTTGGGACGGTTGGAGTATATTTTTCAAGGCGTTGCTTAAACTACAATAATAACAACATTAGTAAAATTCCACAAATTGTAGGTTCTCTGGAGGGTGTGTACACAAAAACCTTATCCCTACTCGAAAGTAGAGAGGCATTACTTAAACTAAAGCCATTAAATTGTGATTGCAGGTCACTTGCAAATAGTGCCTTGAAGTGGTTTAAAGACAATCTATAATCCTGCCCTTCGACGTTCTTTAAACCAAACTTCGGGGTTATTCATTTTCCTTCAAGATGCCCGTACATTCCAACAACGCTAAAAGCATCTCTACAAGAATGTATTAGGTTTTGATACCATTGAAGTTGAAGATGTATACATACAAAATCCGGTATTTTCTCTGCAAAAATGATGGAAAAAAATGTGGGTTTTTTGAAGAAAGTGCTCCATGGCTGGTTTCTCTCTTTAGATGACAGTTCGTTTGGAAAGCCAGAAAAAGGTAATATTTGATTAACCAGAATGGAATTAGTATTAAATTGTAATCAAACGGAGTGTAAAATTTTGTTGTAAATTTACATTAGTGATGCGTCTGGTTTTCTACGTGTTACATTTTTGTATGACTTAACAAACATTGCGTATTGAGAGAATTTGAATTTTCACTCTCCTGTGTAGTTCCATAAGGGGGTCTTGATGACTCTTCGATTAATGTATGTACCCCTTCCATTCATCCTTATATGTCTATGAAGGATAAATCACTCTTTAAGAAAGCATTAATTTATTCAAAAGGTGCCAATATTGAAGGTTAAACTTATGAAAAAAGCATTTAGTTCTTGAGCCCTAGTTTCCCTTTTTTCCTTTTTTTTTTTGTATTATAAGGTGTCAACATGAAAACAGTCCTGCCGGAGTCGAAAATTGTATCTTCTGGTTACTCTCTAAACTACATTAGAATTGTGTTTTTGTATGTAAGGACTTTGGTGACCAAAACATATGCTAATTCTCTCTAGCTTTTGTTCTTTTTGTGACTGCAAAGTGATGATACTCTCATGCATTCTTTGATTATTACATTTCATACCTATTGATGCCCAAATTCTCTTAAGTTGAATGTGCTTGCTCCCCAACATTATGTAATAGGGGCACGTTCGGTGAGCTTAGGGGATATATGGGTTTTGGTATCTCTCGACGTTACAACCTTTGTATGAGTGTTTGGTGAAGCCTAAACAAAGGTTCAAACTTGATATCTTTCAAATTTCAATATGATAATCTGCATAAATTGATTGTTTTTGATCTCTTGAATTTGAAAATTATCAAAGGTTTATATTTGGTATCTTTGGGTTCAACTGACTTCTTTGTTCAATGTCTGGCATTTCAAGTAAGGTCTCGGATCTAAAACAGGTCAGATAAGTATCTACCTAGTTTCCTCCCGCCACTCATCATTTTTTATCGTCTCATTGGTTTCTTTACACTTTCATATCCAGCATTACTAAATTATTTTATAAATCACCCAAAATATGAGCAAAACAGGGTTCTTATCTCCTTAATTGAACATATTTTTATCCTCAAAATATAACTATTGTACCATGACAATGTATTCATATTTTCTATATTTTTTCTAAATTATAAGTTGAATTTCTGAGATAAAAGCACAAAAGTTTGTTTTTGTTTTTTTTGTTATTTTAACTCATATTTTAGTTTTTTTGCTACTAGAAGTTCAATTTACTATTATGTACACATTTTTCAAAATCTCTAATATTTAATCCCCAATTTCACCATCTTATTTCAATAGTTGTAGGACAAATATGAAAAATTAAAAATATTCTTGTATTTGTATAAAATTGTGATATTTTTATTTTTCAAATAACCAAATCCAAAGGCACGAAGGGAGTATCAAAGTCATTCTTTTTACCAATTGAGCATTGTAGATGCCTAGAGTCATAACATGATCCAAAGTTTTAAGGCAAAGGAAACATTTTGGTCACCAAAATACTCCCTTCGTCTGTTAAACTCTTTCTCCTTTCTTTTTTTCTTGTCTCACAAACTTTTTCCCTTATCTATTACTCCGTATAAACCACTTTTACCCATACTAATTCTTACTCTACCTATCACATTATACTCTTTGTTACTAATAATCTATCCATTATATCTTACTTTTATCGATTACATTAAGGGTATTTTTGTAAAAAAAAACGTTAAAACGAAGGAAGTATTTGAATGCGGGTCAAACACTCAGGCCTATCAAAGAGGAAAGGGCACTTGCATGGGTAAGCTTCATGGCTTCCAACCTACAAAGCAAACCCACCCCCACCTATGTCAAAATGCAGTAGAGTGTCGCTGGAAGAAACTCTCGCTCGCCGCCTTTATTTCCTCTCCATCATCATCATCATCATCATCATCTTCTTCTTCTTCTTCTTCTTCTTTTTCTTCTTCTTCAAATGCATAAGATTTCCCCTGTGAGTAATCCAAAATCTACTCGTATTTGGGCAACAGATCCGATGGAGAAAGACAATCAGTGTCCCTCTTTCCATCACCCAAGAAGTACTCCATCGGATCAGTTTCTTTTTAAATAAATAAAAAAAATTGTGTAAAAAGATCCGCAAAATTAAATTACACCCAAAGTGCACCATAAAAGCACTTTTAGCTTGTGCTGATGAGTGCCAAATAAGGTAGGCATAAATACCAACCCACTGTTATTCCAAATCGGATCAAGTGGTCCTCAAAAAATGAGAACTGAAAATCTTAAAATATTTCTAATTCTTATATATTTGGAAACATATCAACTTCACTACAATACTTTTTACATGTGTTTCGCAGAGTCTTGTATGATATTATTGACAAATACACTTGAATACATTTGAATTTGATGCTTTTTGCAATTCCCTACTACCTCAATCCAAATCCAAACCAGACCAAAACAGCCCGGACCGGGAACGAATAAGAGCCAATGCATGAACCAAATACCAGACCTAATAAGGTGAAGACCACACCCGGACCGAACATATTAAACCATTCATACAATCATACATACATTTGGCATACAAATATTTCAAATAACAACCATTGTTGCCAGAGTACAGATCATTGATTCAAAAACTTGTTGAGTGATATTTAGACTTTTAACAAGCCACTGAGGTATTGGTGCATAAAACCATACCTATGAGTCATGACACACAACTTAAACACACTGACCATGCATAAACTATTAACTTCAGTCCTCCGCTATCTTGAAAGATCATCAAGCGATGCCATTACGAGATTTTGGAGGCACATACACCCCCTCCGGGGATACTTCGAACACACGATCATCAACTGTAAAGTTGAAAACTAAATCATATAAAAAGTAAATAATGCCCTTAAATTACTATCCAAGCTAAAATCTCCATGGTTGGTTCAGTTGGAAAATGAAACTTGGAATAAGAACGAAAGGAGGGAGGAATAGACCAACCATGGGATGACAACTGAAAATGAAGGAAAGGACAAGGTATACTAAAATAGGAAATGGGAAGAAAATTTATGAACAAACAAATAGCGAAAGTAGGGTTGTTAATCGGTCCAAGACTAGACACACCCGAACCCAGATCAAAGACCGAATTGAATAAACTCACGGTCACCTAAATCTATTTGGGTTTGGATCATACCGGACCAAAATATTTATGATCGAACCGGTCCAGACTGAATAAAAATACACTCTATCTGTCCCAAAAAAAGCCTCCTCTTTCCTTTTATGAAAAGGTGTGAGTGGCTCACAAATTTGCTCACTCCTCTACATCACTTTCAACCACATATTTTCACTAACCTTAAACTTTATGACACGTCAAATTGTAAACCTTATTTTCGAACGGAGGGAGTTTTTTTTAATTATTTTGATCAATTAAATATATTTTTAAGCTTTCTATTATGCACAGTGAAAATAGAAAAAATTAAAAAACAGAAAACCTAAAAATAGATATACAGCATGGACTACATCTATGTAGAATCATAAAAACTAATGTAAAACTTTCTTTTTAATTATTTTTTAAATTACTAAATAAAAAACCTTTTAATTAAACAAATTAAGATATCTATTAAAATAAAGCATCAAAGTGTAATACAGAACACAAAAAGTAGAGTTTTAGTATTAAGGTCTTTTAGGTCCAATTGGGTTATAGGTCCATTCGGTCCGAACTTAAACCATTTTGGGTTTGGAGCGGAGTAGAGCGGACCAAAATCCGAACACCTAAATTTTTTGGACCAAAGACCGACCCGAAATCCATTTGGTCCAAGTTCGGTCCGGACCTAATGGTCGAGTTCGGTCGGTTTTTTGGTCAGTCCTAAACTGGAACAGTCCTGCAGGAAAGTGGGAAGAAAATTAATGGACGAAGGAAGTACAAGGTAAGGATCTCCACTTGAGTCTATAGGGGTACTTTAAGGTGAGTCTTTCAAATGTGGGAACTTAGCTTCTCGCTGTAAGAAGGTACCACTCTAATAAAAATAAAAAGCATAATGAATTCTGACTTTGAGATTATAAAGATCAGCATCATGCTAGAATGCAACATATTTGTCAAAGACGTCCTCATGAAGTAAATAAAAAAGGGGAAAAGAGTAATGAACTCACAAGACAACTTTTTAGCTTGCTCTTTGGTGAGCCACGCAAAGAAGATATAGGTGAGGTATGAAGTAATCTGGGATTCGGAACTACATAATTAACCAAACACAAAGAAAAAACTAATGAATGCAAAGCTCATTAAGGTGCCCAAAATAAAATAAATAAATACTCATCATCACCCAAAGGTTGATATAAATATAGAGGTACACTACCTGCCAGCTTGTTGCATAACATCGGCATATAATGGCTCTAGAGACTTGTTGGAGTCCATATATTCGTTAGCAAGCATCAGGTCGAGAATGACAAGGTACTATAAAATAACTAGTTATAAGCATTATTTAGTAGAATTGGCAGAGTATAGAAATACCACATGATGCAGTTAACGAATATAGCAAACCTTTTCAGGATCATCGCTTCCTGCACAAAAGCCGAAAACAGAATTACGAGTACATATATGATTTTATACAATCAAAACAAAGCAAGGATTTTTTTGAACCCTACAAAACTTTCAAGTACTTATATATGAGGACTTTCTAAATTTGATAGTTAATACTCTAAATAATCATGAAATATAGGGACCACCCAAAACGGGCATAAAGAGAGGATTGCCATTAGGGGTTTTGAAAAACCCCTTACCTTGACTAAGTTTCAGCTTCTTGGATGGTGTAGCTGAAATGCAAAGCAACAATGTAAATTCAGGACAAGTGGCAATAGAAAGAAATATGAAGGAAAACAACACAAAACTTAATATGGTTAGCCTCAAATTAGTCATCACATATTCATATTGCATGCCAATCAACTACCCAAAGTAAAGATGCTCAAGTATAGTACAAAAATCCAATTGATGAATTCATAAAATTAAATTTAAATACAATGTCCAGTTAATGAAACAATAAATTGTGCATGACAAGATGCACACATTGCAAAACAGTGAGGGGTATATCATGAAAATGAATGCTCCCTTTATCCCATGACAATGGCTATGTTATTGTATTCCATTACAGTCTGTTACCAAAGTCATCTTTTGTTTCTTATTATTATGGAAAAAGTCATATGTAATATCAACCATTAGTTTTAATGTAAACAAATAGCGATTTGTTTTACGCAACTAGAAGTGATATCTGTCTCTTGTGATTTCACCCTTATTTCCTACCAAAAATATCCTCCTGCTCTAACAAAACCAAAGAGACAACTACCTAAGGGCATACAGACATACAAAAAGAAATCAATAATCATTCATTTAGAGTGGATAGTAATCATTCAAAGAGTCATAAACAAATAGATATCATTCATTTAGAATAACATGCAAGTGGATAGTAGCGATCCATCGTGTACTATTGCAATTGTGATTAAGAATAAATCATAATCAACACTTGAATTGCACAGTTGGAAGTGAAGTAAAAGAGTGCGCCAACCCTCAGCCCTAGACGGCGCCCCCAACCCCGCACTCCCGGTGAACCCAATCCTAGACGACACCCCAACTTTAGCTGCATAACCCTAGGTCACAGAACCCCCTCACACACCTCAGCAAGTCTGCACAGCCAACTACAACCAGACAGATATCCTCCTAACCACCTAACCCAGATCCTTCCAGCTCCACCCCTATCCCTACATATCTCATCCCCAACGAATTGCTCTTTTTCTCTTCTACTTTATTGGCTAATGTTGTGTATCTTTATTGCTATTGTTGCTTCTATTGGTCTTGATTGTTGCGCAACTGTAATGTTGTCGTGCTCTTCTGCTATTATTATTTCCTTCTTGCAATCTACTAAAGGTTGCCTTCTTTGTTTTTACTACATTTTGATTATTTGTTTTGCCACACAAGCTTTTTGTTGTTGTTTCTTGTTCGTTGGCTAACTTGTTTCTGGTTTGTGATAGTGTGTAAATCGGGTGGTATAGGCTAGTAAAATNGGGGGGGGGGGGGGGGGGGTATCCAAGTGTCGAATGTGCGGTTTGGCCATTGAAACATAAGAAGCTCATTGATAAGTCGATTGAGTTGGTCCAAGTTTTCAAGACGAGGATTCAAGATGTGGACAGGTTCAAGTTATGGTAGTCAGGGTGTTGCTAGGAACATGAATGGAGTTGGCATTTTGTTGGCACAAGAGCTTCGAGAGTTTGTGGTAGATGTGGGGAGGATTAGTGACTAGTTGGTGGCACATATGAGTGCATATGCTCCGCTAGTCCGCTTAGTTGATGAAGTTTAGACGGAGTTTTGGGAAATGTTTGATGAGGTGACAAGAGGATCCGGTACAGAAACTATTCATTAGAAGACACTTAAATGGTCACATTGGGGGTTTGATAGAGAGTTTTAAAGAGGTGCATAGAGGGTTTAGCTTTAGCCTTTAGGAGTAGGAATCCTGAGGGGGGTTTCTCTTTTTGAATTTGCTTGAGCGAGTGATTTGGTGATCACTAACCCTTTCTTCCCAAAGTGAGGGGACCACTTGGTTAATTTTTCTATCGGAGTGAAAAGAACGCAGATCGATTACTTCTTTTTGCACAAGTGTGATCCCAAGTGGGAACCTTACAACCCAACATAAGTTACTAGTGATGAATGTTTTGATTGGGTGGAATTGCATAATGGTGTGTGAAGAACAACTACAGTGCCCAATTGGGTGGGGGAGTACTTCATTGGCATACTACATGCAAGAGGATATAGGAGTTTTGGAAGTCAGTGGGCAGTAGTTGATTGACTTGGGTTACTAAACTATTCAACGGTATCCTTATGATCGCCAAGATTCCTAATGAATGGAGGGAAAGTGTGGTGATCCCATTATATAAGGGAGAGGTGATATCTAGATCCTGCTATTCTGAGATTCTACTGGACTGTTGTTGGAGCATATGCTCCCATAAATTGTACTTACACACTCCAACTTGGCTCTGTGTGAGAATCCGTAAAATACCCATTATACTGTAGATTTATAAGATGATAAGAAACCTAGCTAAAGAACAATTCAAAAAATGTATATATTGGAAGCTGACAACATAGGAAATCATCAAGGCACATACAATTAGTGTCAGAAC